CCTCGAGCTGCGGCAGGCCTGCCCGGCCCGGCTTTTGCACGCACATCACTACCCACAAAACGATTACTTGATCAAGTATTAATACAAGGGATAGGATATGACTTTATAGGAGTAACTAGTAAGAAAGATAAGTGGAGGGGATTATCAGTTTTAACTGTAGAAGTATATCGATATGTTTAGCTGTGTGTATGCAACCCATGCAATTATAATTGTACAGTCAACTGCACAAATACTTTACTGTACATATACAAAACTTCAGAAACCCGTGAGCTTCGGTTTCAAAAATAGAGTTATCCGTCCCCAATGTTTGTTCACAGTCGGGAGGATACGGACAGTCGCGCATACATGTTTTTGAGACCGAAAACATGTACAAGTTTCCAGACACATTTATGCAGCTGATTGTACATAAGTTACGAGTAGGTAGCTACATTAATATTGTGATGTAAATACGTGCACTTTCGCGATCTGCATTGATTAAAGAATCTAAAGGTTATACCAGTTATCGTGTGACACGGATGCACTGGTTATTAACTTATTTATAACACTTATTGCTTTTATATATGCTATCTTTTATTGAAATAACTAAGGAAAAAATATTAAAGTTTTGAAAAAAAAAAAGGAAAATATTAATAGAAATCATTTGAAACCTGTAGAAATTAAGTTTGTACCGAAAATAGGTTTCCTTACACCTAGATAAGTGAAAATGGATTTTAGGCACTAAATCTAGCTAGATGAATATATGAATTTAGTTTCCAAGCCTTGGTCAAAATGTAATAGTTTATATAATATTTTAACAACCAAACAAATAATTTTCTCTAACAAACATACCCTCAGCTGGTTCTCCAAGACTATTACTGACAGCTTTTAAATATTCCTCCGCTCTTTTATTAATCGTACCTCTTTTTCTTCTATTTAATCCCACAGTACATCTACCGTTAAATGTTTTGCTATAAACTTCCCCATTTCCCGCCATTTTGCTCGTTAACTTTATCCTTGCTGGATATTCGAACATTGAAAATGAAAAAAAAAGTTGTCTATGATACGCGATGGCGTGGTATTCGCACCTCAGGCACCCCAATAACTGATTCTGCCACGCCGGTGCAGGGTGACATATTCAAAAGGTTATCAAAAAGTTTTAAATACATATTAATCAATATTTTTTGTTTTATTATTGACGAAATACTTATCGAGGCCGCGTGTATAAACAAAAATATGTGTTTCGTATACGTCTGGGCTTTAAATGTAAATAATAAATTTGCCTAAAATCTAAACGAAGATTCTTGCTAAGATAAGGTATCCCTTATACATGTTAATATTTCAATAACTCCAGGTAAGGTCTATGGTTTACAACAGTGGAATGGTGGGAATAGAACCTACGATAGGAGGCAATTGATGCTTAAAATATTGACGGTATAAAATTGACGATTTTTATGCGTGGGTCCTCGCTGCCGTACGATAAAGAGTAAGAAATTGCTCAAACATTAAACAAAACTGTTCGGTAGTGATCATACGAAAATATTCCATTTATGCATATCCGATGCATAGGTTAGAAATAGTTACCTATGGAATATTACTCTTAAATGACATAAACAGCTACTTAAACTTTTATAGTGTTTAACGACTTCTTTGTACACAGAGTGAATATATTCCGACAGTAAAACACCAACTACCCACCACGGATGTAACGAAAATATTTGAGATACAAATGATCCCTTGACCCCGGGCTGTTTGGAGGTGATCGTAACATTTATATAACGCCATATTTTTGTAAAATGCTGAAAAATAAACTAACTACAGTTACATAGTAATCAGTCGGAGCTTACCGACGTACTAGATTGGATGTAATACTAACTAATATTACAAATGCGAAAGTTTAGATGGATGGATGGATGTTTGTTAGAGTTTGTAGCCTAAACGACTGAACGGATTTCGATGCAATTTGGTATAGATGTAGAGGATAGTCTGGAAGAACACTTAGGCTACTCACGTTTGTTTTTTTTTAGTTCCACGCGGACGGAGTCGCGGGCGAAAGCTAGTTAGCAATACTTAACACAAAATCAATGTTTGTTTAAATTTTATAACAATAACAATTTTATATCGTTATAAATATTTACAATAATACTGGTAAAGAAAACAAAGTAGTTAGCTAAAGGAATAAAAACTTACTTGTCCGGTACAAAGTTATTTTGTAAGTACGGCGGAGGGCTTCCAGTGACAATCTGCTTTAGACTGAGATGTGCGCGCCAAAGCGCATCCAAAGGTCGCAATACCCCGTTACTATGGAGTGACACGGACCTCGTGTGATGCGATATTTTCATAAAAACTTTTGCTATAACTGAATGATCAATTATTCCGTAAATGACAACTGCATGCACATTCATGCAAATAATGCAGCAGAAGCCACTAAAGTTTATAAATTTAGTTTGTAACTATGGTTTTTAATGCTATAATAGAGAGGATTACTTGATGTATTCAGAGGAACATAACTATCGAGTAAAATGAAAATCTCATTGTTACTGTGCAATGTGCAGCCAGTAGCAAATAAAGTTTTATTTTTCATGAAAAATTTAATATAATTGGTCCTGTTGGTTTCCATTATTTTTTTAAATGTTCATATCGTATTCATTGATTTTAAAAGATGTCCAAATCACTCTTGTGTCAGTGATTTATCGGCAATAAATAGCCGGAGTCCGTCGTAGGAAAACAGTTGACCGTCGATAAGGAAGATAACGCCATTACCGGACTGAGTTTACACAGACATACTCAAATATACACAAATAGATATTAGGCTAGTAGTAACAAAGTGCTCAATAACATTGCCTACGATTTAACGTAATGGCGTCAGCACATTTTTTCAGCAATTTAACATTTCTCACACTTCTCTCATTCTATTCAATTCCTAGTGACATTTCCCTTTTACTACCAGTATCGCTCTTTGCGAGAACTAACGCTCTGGGTGAATTCTACGCCTCCTTTATACCACTTAGTGGGGATTGGAAAATAAACAGGTTTATTCGACACTATTATTTTAAGCTGGATAGCTTTTCTATCCAGCACCCTGGGCGACCTGACAGTTGCAGTCTTGTTACAAGATATTTTCTTTTCCCCTACTAGTAAATGAGATGTACCACTACGTTAAGCATTTGTTTGCAAAACTTTTTCAGTCACATAGACTAGTCTAGTTTATCTAATGTATTATCAAATTCGATATTTTATAACCTGAAAAATGCATTAAAATAGGACTCAGATATTCTTTAACTGAAGTCGCGAATTCAACAAAGCCAAGGTCGTTTTAAAGCGATTGGGTTCGCAATGTCTATGGTATTTGTATGTCATATCGGGAATTATTCACCGATTAAATCCAATTGTGTTTGTAGATAACGATATCATATCTATTTAAGCATTTTTATAGAACCTAGGTTACGTTTACACTAACACATTAAATTAAAACAAAGATTTTGTTTAACGGAAACATGATTTTTGGTGAATTTGAGAAAATCCTTATATTGTATCTTTGATTACGTAACATTGATTATGTTGACTCGTAAATCTTTAGTTTACTAGTTTCCAAAATTTTTAAATGTTCGAATGTCAATTTTAAAATGCAAGTTTGAAGGTTATTTTTTGCTGTATTATCTAGAGTAATGTTCTGTTATTATAATGCGTTTTGATTATGCTCAATATATACGTAGCTTTAGAATTTATTATAATAAATAATCTACAATCAGTAATAATCTAATCAAGTCTAACAGTAGGTGCAGAATCCAAAAGTAGTTATGTTCACAGTTTGAAAAGAGGACCCTTTTTGCCGCCATATTGTTTTTCATTGTTTATTTGCGTGTTTTTGTTAATTCAGTGTGTTGTTTAGTACCAAGTGGATTATTCTATTTTCTCAGGTAGTTTATTTCTTTTATGCTGTACTTAACCGTTTTTTATTTTTTTAGAACAGTATTTTACTCAAAGAAGTATCTTTAGTTTGAAATATCGTTACAAGAATAGTACGCAATAATTACGAAAAGCGATTTCTACAGTTATTTCTTCTTTAGTACGATATGTTTCTCTGAGTAACACATTTCATTTTGAAAATTAAAACTTCAACCCAAAGGAAGCCTAAGAGGAAGCTGAAGGGCCACTTATGTTTTTGTACAGCTGTTCAGTGTTAGTAAAGCTATGGCCATCATCCAAGGTCTGGGTTACCGTTTAAAACTTTCGACATATTTCGTGACGTCATATCTTATCAAAATGTGATTGAAAAATAACTCGGAAAACCCTTGTAAAATTTTAAAGGAAAATACATTATTGATTACTTATTTAGCAAATTATTATTTGTTATTGCTTAAATAATAGGTTGTTAATTACCTATGATATTACGTTGGAATGAATCTAATATTTAAATTGAAGAAAATAAGCATAGCTTTAATGCTAATAATTCAAAAAAAGTGTCGTTACTCATGTAACAATAACATGGAATTGGGTAGACTACTGATTTCAATCCATAGATCTCTCTCATAAGGGTATTGTCTTCATAATTATATCTTGTTTCTTTATTAATTTAAAAAATGTTTAGTATAGCGGAGACTGTATATCATGCGAGATGGGCGGGGATGTACGAGCAGCTGGGACGTTGCTAACACTGTTAATGCTTCTTGATGTTTCTCTCGTCTTCTGTCAACGTAAGTTTGTTATTTCTTCATGAAAATGGCATGTATTTGTCTCGTTAATTCCATGATTTAACGATCTTCATGTTACACAATTCGTTTTTTCAGAAAGATGCTCGTATATGACAAGTATACCACGCGAACCCAAACCTGATGATCTGCCTGAACTCAATTTTGATGGTAAGATATCTTATCTTACTTCTTACTAATATTATAAATGTGAAAGTTTAGATGGATAGATGGATTGATGTTTGTTAGAGTTTGAAGCATAAACGGCTAAACGGATCTGGATGAAATTTGGCACAGATGTAAAGCATATTCTGGAAGAACACATAGACTACTTACTTTTAATTTTTTTAATACCACGCAGACGGAGTCGCGGGTGAAACATAGTGCTTCATATTTCATCTCCCTTACTTTTTACTACTGCCGTAGGGTTAACGCGGCGAGTTTTCGTCCTCCAAATAACTCTATCTTTCATCTCAGTCAGCACTCCTTTCTTCATCATGTCACCTTTTCGCAATCCATCCATATTCTTCATATTTGTACATCAATATTGTCATTTTAAATTTTAGTAGTTGTTTTCTTAAAGCTTCATTTAACATTTTGATTATGATGTATGTAGGTGTACCATTTGGAGAAAGACCGTTCACTCCAGGCCCGGAGCGCGATGACGTGTGCATGGACGATTACTTCCCCAATATGCCTACCACTGGCACACAGATCATCTATATGGACGAAGAGATTGAAGGAGAAGTGCCCATCGCTGTTATAAATTATAATGGTAAAATTGTCGATGAGTATATAAATAATAGTTATACCTAATTATTGCGAAGGACTATACTGAGATCTTTGCGTGTTTTCTCCAGGTACTCAAGAGCCGTACATTGCGTCTTTCATGTCTGGTTCCTTCAATCTGCTTGGCCCTGCAATACGAAAGGAAGATGACAAATGGTTCCTATACATCACACAACGGTATTTAAATCATCATCATGCCTTATTTTACTTAAAGCTGTCGCTCCTCTATTTTGTTCTGCTGAAATTGCTCTAAGAGCATCCGCATACTTTTGACTAAACTGTTACACAGCTGTTGTGCGATTGTCGATTGTTTTGCAGCCAATTCAACTGTTTAGTCACGACTGAAAATCGAGTAGTCTGCTCACATCAGATTAAACAGTTCGGCGATAGTTTTATTTCAGGTGTGCGCAGGCTTTAATAACTTTTTTTGCAACTTCACGGACGTTATCCGTTACTTTTCTCATCTATGATAAATGTAACATTATTTTTTATAATATAAGATAGCAAACAAGCAAGCGGCCACGTGAATCCACCAAAATGGAAAGCGACCGCAATTGGACATCCGCAATTGCAGATTATTATTTAGGGTTATGTTGCAGACAAGATTACGAGACGCCGGGTATGCAGCGGTACATGTTCAACGTGCGGGTAGACGGTGAGCCGCTGATCGCTGGCGTCACTCTGCAGATTGTCAACATTGACGACAACGATCCTATCATACAGGCCTTCGATGCTTGTCAAGTGCCAGTGAGTTACCTAGACCTTTCACACCACACCTTTCATACCATTTACACGTTACATGCTTTAGTGACAACGATTCGAGTCGCCAAGTTCACCGAATACTAAAACGAATCTAAACACTTTGCTTTTTCAGTACGCTTAAAATCTACAGAGGTATAAAAATTTTTAATGAATATGGCTTAAATGTCGCCTTGTCATTTAAAACGATACTACACAACTTGATGTCGTTTCATTTTCGGTCGTAAACGTGTTAAAATTTGCTCTGATTCTACCTCTTTGTGAAAGTTGTGACAATCTTGCATCCAAAGTAATCAGTTAAAGATCTTATTATAATTGAATACTTTTAAAATTTCCAGGAGTTGGGTGATCCAGGTCTAACAGAGTGCGTCTATCAAGTGACAGACGCGGATGGTGAGATCAGCACCAGGTTTATGACGTTCGAAATCGACAGTGATAGGGGAGACGAGAAGATCTTCTTTATACAAGGAGACAACATACAGAACGAGTGGTACAGGATGACGATGACTGTGGGACTTAATACCTCCCTTAACTTCGAGACAAACGCCCTTCATGTGTTTAGAGTTACTGCTTACGTAAGTTGTTTTATTTAAATGCCCTTGCTCTTAACTGCTGACGCAATTATAACAATATTGGCTGATTTATGACGAAGTTTTAAAGCAATTCAAATCAATATTAGAAATTATTACTGCACATTATTTCTTGGTAAAAAAAATTTCGACTTCATAAATATCTTGATAATCGTTCACTTACAGTAATTGATTTAACTTTGAGTACACATAATGTTGGTTTTAGGATTCCCTTCCCAACAGCCACACTGTTACACTGATGGTGCAAGTAGTGAACGTGGAACACCGGCCGCCAAGATGGATAGAGATCTTTGCGGTCCAGCAGTTCGACGAAAAGACCGAACAGAAATTCAACGTGCTTGCGATAGACGGAGATACTGGTATCAATAGACCGATATACTACAGAATAGAGACTGACCCAGAAGGTATATACGGTTTTTGGTTATACAAATGTATCTTTGTGGATATCACATACAAAGTTCATTGTCATTTGTTATTTCCAGACACATTCTTCAATATAACAACAATAGAAGGTGGAAGAGAAGGTGCGGTCTTTCATGTATCTCCAATAGACCGAGATGAGCTTCAGAGGGAGGTCTTCCAGCTGTCTATCATTGCATATAAAGAGAATAATGAAAGCCTCTATGTGGTATCTAATGTCGTCATCATCGTTAATGACATTAATGACCAAAGACCGGAGCCATTATTCAAAGAATACTCCATAGATATTATGGAAGAGACGCCTATGACACTGAATATCGAACATCTTGGCTTTCATGATAGAGACTTGGTGAGTAGACTTCTTATTCAGATAGAGTTCATTTTGATATAGCCTTCTTCATGGTTTTTGGTTCAGAAGAACGTGTAGTAAAGTTATTTCCTACGTATAGGGTCAAAATGCACAATACAGTGTGCATCTCGAGAGCGTGTTTCCACCGGATGCGGCGAAGGCTTTCTACATAGCCCCAGAAGTCGGCTACCAGAAGCAGGAGTTCATCATGGGCACCCTCAACCATTCTATGCTGGACTATGAAGTGCCTGAGTATCAAAATATCACTCTTAAGGTATCACAATATTTACTGATATTTAACTGTAAAAGGTACACTATAAACTAATGATTATAGTAGTAAAGTAGCTAATATTGCAGCAAAATTAAATTCTTAGTACAATACTCTTCCTTTCCACTCCACAATCGTTCAGTTATCTAACTGAAGTTAGAGTAACGAAGTGATGGCAGTCAATGAGATTCAAGGGTTGGTTTCTATCAGCAACATCTTGTCCATGTTCTTTAACTATCTTAAAAATCCTTACAAAGTATACTTGACTGTTACTCCCTTCTTCCAATAAAAGGTGATAGCGACCGACCTTAACAGAACTGATTTCGTGGGCGTCGCCACAGTCTATATCAACCTGATCAACTGGAACGATGAGGAGCCGATCTTCGAGCAGGACACGCAGACTGTCACCTTCAACGAGACTGAGGGTAGTGGCTTTTATGTCGCCACTGTGCTTGCGAAAGACAGGGATATTGATGATAGAGTTGTGTAAGTAATTTCAAGTTAGCCATTCAAACATCGACAACTATCATTTCAAATCAGACGAACTTAATCCAAACAGTTTTCGAGATTTACATCATAGTTAGATGACAAAAATTGACCAATTGATGACTACGAGTACCAGTACATTAAATACTAAAATAATTGAAAGTAATAGTTTAAATGGACAAGTTGATGGTATGATGTTTTTTGTTACTAGTCACTCGCTAATGGGCAACGCAGGACAATTCCTTAACATCGACGACGCGACTGGAGCGATCCACGTGGCCGTCGATGATACCTTTGATTATCATAGACAAAGCGAACTGTTTGTACAGGTAAATGCTTTTCGAAAAAAATAGTGTTTACCTACTTTCCTAGATATTTCATGGAACATGTGTTATTTCTGTACCCAGGTGCGAGCGGATGACACTCTAGGCGAGCCATACCACACGGCTACTTCGCAATTAATCATTCGCCTTATTGACATCAACAATACGCCGCCCAGTTTACGATTGGTAAGTAAAAATTTACTTACTTGTCTTATAATACCTATAATCAACTTCTCTTCTTTCCTGCCTTCTTTTCCCTCCTTCCGCCCTGCTTTTTCATTTTAAAGCCGTCCTCAAATAGCACCAAAAAAATTGCAATTTTATTTCACAATATTTTGATGATAAAAATGTAATTTATAGAAACGTTAGTCCTAAATAATTCTAATCAGCTCTTTGCATTCAGCCTCGTGGTAGTCCTCGTATAGAAGAGAACGTCCCCGAAGGCACAGAGATCACCCGCGAGATACAAGCAACAGATCCGGACAGCACCGCGGAGCTGCGCTTTGAGATAGACTGGACCACTTCGTATGCGACCAAGCAGGGCAGGGAAACTGATGCCAGAGAGTACCACAAGTATGATCCAGACTCATTTAGAGTGGGCGCACACCTTCGACTAAACGATTGCCGATTGTTTTGAAGATAACTGTTTAGTTGCACAAATAAATCGAGTAGTGAGCGCACGTCCATATAAGCTCATAGCAATCAAAGCGAAACTAAACAGTTGTGCAATAATATAGACAAAGATGTGGGCGCGCTCTGACTCTCGTAATATTTGACTACAAATTGAGTAATCTACACATCATGTTCATCAAATCCAATCAGAATCAATTAATCCGAATTTAAAATGGACCTATCCATGATGAACTAAATTTATACTAAATAAGTTAAGAATTTGAGTAAGACAAGATTTTTATTAATAAGCATACTTTTCCAATAGTTGTGTAGCAATCGAGACATTATACCCTGACGAGAGTGTGCGCGGCGTGGCGCGCGGCCGCGTGGTGGTGCGCGAGATCAGGCATAACGTCACCATCGACTTTGAGGAGTTCGAGGTTCTTTACTTGACTATCAGAGTGCGTGACATTAACACCGAGATTGGAGCCGATTACGATGAATGTACGTCACTAATAATGATTTTTTTTAATCATTACCAGCTCACTATACGTCCCCACTAAGGAGCTCGGAGCCTACCCTAAATAAGGGGTTACTAGGCCATAGTCAATCACGATGGCCCACTTCTTGACTTGGTTGAATTTACATATCTTTAAATTTCTTCGCCACTATGTGCTGGTTGTTTTCCTTCACCGTAAGAACGGCGATAAACTATGTACATATGAAATTCATAAATCGAAAATTACATTGGTAAATGGCGGGATTCAAACCCGTAGATTACAAGTCAAGTCCTTAAACCCCTGAGCCACCGATGCTCAGATATTTGTAAAATTATAAGTAATTTCTTTCTAAGTCGACTAGGATTGATTGCTTTCGATAAGGGTCATTGCTTTACAATAATCCAAAAACATCTGAAAAATACCAACACGGTTACATATGATAGATTTACGATCACGTCATTAACAAACTAAATATTTCAGTGACATTCACAATAATCATAGTGGACATGAACGACAATCCGCCAGTCTGGTCTGAGAATACCCTCACACAGGAATTCAGAGTTCGCGAGAACTCGGGCACGGGCATTGTTATTGGCTCAGTGCTGGCCACCGATATTGATGGACCACTCTACAATCAAGTCCGATACACTATTATGTATGTATAATCTTACTTCTTACTAATAACTATTATGAATGCGAAAGTTTAGATGGATGGATGGATGTTTGTTAGAATTTTTAGCCTAAACGGCTGAATGGATCTCGATGAAATTTGGCATATACATAGAGGATAGTAGGGAAGAAATAGGCTACTCACTTTTGTTTTTTTAATTGCACGCGAACGGAGTCGCGGGAGAAGTGTAGTCCTTCCATATTTCCATCAAATCAACCATTCTTCTTTTATCTTTTGTATAATATTTAAGTTATAAAATCCTTTAGGCCACGAAACAATACACTCGAAGATCTCGTGAAGATAGATTTCTATACGGGGCAGTTGACAGTGGATAAGCCGGGAGCCATCGATGCCGACATCCCTCCTACACAATTCCTGTATTACACGATCGTAGCCAGCGATCGATGCTACGAAATTAACGAAGACGATTGTCCCCCAGACGACACTTACTGGGAAACCGAGGGCGATGTAAGTAATACCTTAGGTAATAGACCAGATTAAACAAAAGTAGGTAGGAAGCTTAATTATCCATTTTCCAGATCAAAATCTACATTATTGACACTAACAACAAGACACCACGCGCGGAAACCGAGGAGTTTGACGTCGTTGTATACGTGTATGAGAATGCCACTTCCGGTGATGACATCGTGTATCTCATGTCAAGTGATGATGACAGAGACGGTGAGATTCTAACCAAAACATTTAATTTTTTTTTATATTATAAGTGGCAAAGGTGTGTGCAACCACCTGATTTCGCCGAGAAAACGAAAAGCTATGTATATATAAGCATACATCCGCAATACCCTTGATCAACGAAGGAGACGCACATAAAGAGCATAATTCCCCTTCCGATGCGTCTCCTCCACCGTCATATTCACATTTCAATCCTTTCCCTATAAGAAAATGGTGGGAAAGGAAATAAATTAAAAACAGACCTCCGAGAACTGATCTCAGAGAGAGAAGATAACGAAAGATAGTTAAATTTAGTTTAGAAGACAGAGCAAATATTACTATTTGATTCTTTCCCTTGAATCTTTTCAGCAGTAAATACAATTTTATCGTTATTATCACAGAAATGTACAATACGGTGCGGTATCAGATCAACTACGGTGTGAATGTGCGCCTGCGCAGCTTTTTCTCGGTGGACCTGGACAGCGGAAGGCTGTACGTAAACTACACCACGGAGGAGACGCTGGACCGCGATGGAGACGAGCCTATGCATACAATATTCTTAAACCTTATTGACAACTTCTATTCCGAAGGAGGTATGAATAGTTACATTACGTTACAATAGTATATTAATTCTTGGATCATGTTAATTTAAATTTTAAACGAATCAATCAATTTCAGATGGCAACAGGAACCAAAACACGACGACAGTAGAAGTCATATTACTGGACGTAAACGATAATGCCCCTGAACTGCCTGAACCTCATGAACTCTCCTGGTCCGTGCTGGAGAATCTCACAGAGGTAACTAAATATATTGCATCATATTATAAGATCAAATTTACTGAAATGCCAAGTATGATTTGTAGGATGACATTAGTATTGTGTATTTTCGCTTCTTCATGACTCCAGCCAATTCAGGTCACGTCTTAACCAAACCTGTTATATAGGGCATCCGCTTAGAGCCTCACATCTACGCACCAGACCGAGATGAACCGGACACCGACAACTCACGTGTCGGATACGACATCCTCAACCTGACACTCACCGACCGCGACCTGACCCTGCCCAGACTCTTCAACATGATACAGATACAGAACGTCACAGGCGAGCTGGAGACCGCCATGGACTTGAAGGGATACTGGGGAACGTACTCTATACATATACTGGTGAGTTCGTATTTTAATGCTCTGCTTCTATTTTCAACAATAACAACCATAATTTGTGCTATCTCTGCAGGCGTTTGATTATGGCCATCCTCCACAAAGCTCCGATGAGCACTACGAGCTCGTAATCAGACCATACAACTTCCACGATCCGGTTTTCTTGTTCCCACAACATGCTTCCATTGTTAGACTCGCGAGGGTAAGTGGTTTAAACATTACAGAAATAACAGAACACCATTATAATGACTGAATCAAGTATATTAATACATTTTTTCTTTATTTTGATGGTTTTCAGGAACGAGCCATGGTAAACGGTATGTTGGTGATGGTGAACGGAGAATTCCTGCATCGCGTCGCAGCGACTGATGAAGACGGACTCCATGCCGGCATTGTCACCTTCTCTGTCGTCGGGAACGGTAGGATTTAAATTTTAAATCTTCCCAATAGCCCATAACTTTTTAATTTGTTCAAGTCTCCGTTCTACCTCAGAAACGCCAAAAGAATCTTTAACAGAAATCTTTGCACTTGATGCTCTAAAAATCTAATGAATTCTTTATCAATTAGAGTAATTTTATTAAAATTTGAATCAAATTTACAGCGGAGGCCGAGAATCATTTCCATGTGGTGAACGATGGCGAGAACTCGGGCACTTTGATGCTGAAGCAACTCTTCACTGAAGACACTAAAGAGTTTCAAGTACATTTATTAACATAAATGTGAATTTACACAAAGAGGGTATTCCTTTATATTTAGTATATTAATTTGTAGGTGACTGTCCGCGCTACAGATGGCGGCACAGAACCAGGTCCGCTGTTCACAGACTCCACGCTGAACATAATATTTGTACCCACACAAGGCGAGCCAGTATTCTCCGTCAATACAGCGCATGTTACTTTCTTTGGTACGTAATCAGTAGTTAAGAAGATGTCAACCTTTCTTAAACATTTGTGGTTTAATGTCTTTTTTATTTTTTAGAAAAAGAGGTAGGCTTGGAAGAAAGTCAACGATTGCCTTTAGCAGAAGACCCAAAGAATTATCGCTGTACCGATGATTGCCATGTCATTTATTACAGGATTATCGGTAAGTATTTACATTAGATGGAAAAAAATGAATTTTCGTGTAACTATTAAATGTATCTCAGCTAAAGTGCTAAATCGATATGAATTAACCTTTTTGCTGCGGTAACAAACCATAGCGAGATCTATTTCGATCTCAACGCCATCTAGTGAGTTGATTTGTAAACATATTTTTTTTAAATGAGTCATATAATAACAAAATATTGTTCATCATCAGATGGCAATCAGGGTGGCCACTTCCAGCTTAATGCCCAGGACAATGTCTTACGCGTTGTGCGAGAGTTGGATCGCAACAGCAGCGTAGAGCACACGCTGCTTGTGGCCGCCTCTAACTCCCCTACAGGAGGGTCTATACTTACTGGTTCCACACTCACAGTCACTATTACAGTAAGTGAGAATCTGTAATCATCTAAATTTAACTGACCTTTATTCACGTTCTCATTTAAATTCATATTGTCATGTTAATAATTCAATTTGAAGGTAAGAGAAGCAAATCCTCGACCTATTTTCGTGCGTTCGCTTTATACTGCGGGGATTTCCACTTTGGACACCATCAATAGAGAATTGCTCACCCTACAAGTAAGTACTTGCATATATTTTATTCCAAGGTCATTTAAAAGTTAATGATTAATTTAATTCATAACGATTGCAATTGTGACAATAATCATATCATCATATTATAAATGCGAAAGTTTAGATGGGTGTTTGTTAGAGTTTGTAGCTTAAACGGCTGAACGGATTTCGATGAAATTTGGTACAGATGTAGAGGTTAGTCTGGAAGAACACATAGGCTACTCACTTTTTTTTAATTCCACGTGAACGGAGTAGCGGGCGAAAGTTAGTCAGATCTAAAACTTAGATACACTAAAATGCCAAAGTACCTCGACAGGCGACACATTCTGAAGGTGCCGCAATCACCTACGTGATTCTGAACGAGACGATGCAAGTAGACCCGAGTCTGGAAGCAGTGAGGGCGACAGCGTTCTTACTGAACCCTACAACTGGCGTTTTAACACTGAACATGCAGCCGACAGTCTCCATGCATGGCATGTTCCAGTTTCAAGTCCTCGCCAGAGACACTGGTAAGAAAATCTCATATATGCTAATATAATATAACGTAAACACACACTACTTTGTGGCGTAGGATGTGAGCAATCACAGCATATTTTTAAATAATCCTCTTTTTTAATAAAAATCCCTACACTTACCTACGTCACGCTTTAGGTTATATGTTATTACGCTATTAAACTTAGAGGGTAAATTGATTGGATAAAAACCCCAAATGTGGGAAAGAGACCATAAGCTACGAGCTACCAACATCACGGAAGCAAACCGCACGGAAACAGTTAGTTTCTAAATATGTTTCTTTGCAGCTGAAGCCACAGATACAACGAATGTGAAGATCTATTTGATCTCATCAATGAATCGAGTGTTCTTCATCTTTGTCAATACAATGGAGCAAATTGCGAAAAATAAAGATTTTGTAAGTCGCCTTTTCACTAGTATCTCCAGTCAGACTTTTTATATCTCGATGAAATCTTTTAATTATTTACCATTAATTGCTAGACGAGAGAATTCGTTCTTTATATCTCTTTGGTACTTCTAGATAGCGCAGACGTTCGGCATAGGGTTCAACATGACGTGCAACGTGGACCAGGTGGTGCCGGCCACTGAGAGCAGCGGCGTCGCGCGCGACGACCTCACCGAGGTGCGCGCGCATTTCATACGAGACAACGCGCCGGTCACCACTGACGTCATCGAGGAGTCAGTATACTTATTTAATTTGTACTAAGTGACAAATAAGAGTGACGTTTTGTTTCCAATCTATTCTGAGACTAACTCTTGCCCGCGACTCCAACCGCTAAAATTAACTTAGTAATGGACCATGTGTTTTTCTAAACTATGATTTACGTCTGTGTTAATATTTTATCAAAATCTGTTAAGCCTTTCTGGAGACAACTTCTATCAAAACATCCATCAATCTAAACATTCGCATTTATATAAAACGATATCGAATGATCACGTTAGCTCTCGAAAGTTTTTTATTTTGGACTCGATGGCGCTAGTGTGCAAACTTTATATAAACTGTTTTATCCACAGACTGCGTAGTGACACCACACTTTTACGGACAGTGCAGACGACACTGAACACGGAGCTTCTTGTGCTGCGGGACCTGGTGACTGGAGACAGTCCCACGCTGACGCCCGCCGCCGGCCGCAACGCGGTCTACGTGCTCGCCGCACTCTGCGCTCTACTTGCCTTGATATGCTTTGTATTGCTAATCACATTTGTCGTCAAGAGTCGCGCGTAAGTAATTATTTAATGAAAAAAACTTGCCAATTCATAGAAATTATCACAATAATATTAAACATACTTTTGTGTAACTATTTTAGGCTAAAACGTCGTCTAGAAGCATTGTCGATGACAAAGTACGGCTCGCAAGACTCGGGGTTAAACCGCGCAGGGCTGGCAGCTCCCGGTACTAACAAACACGCCACCGAAGGGTCCAATCCTATCTGGAATGAGGCTATCAAAGCCCCTGATTTTGACGCTATCAGGTAACGTCACTTCTTTTTCACTCAACTTGAATGTGGCATTTACTTTTCAACGTTAAATATTTACTTTACATAATGAATTACTTTCAGCGGAGACTCTGACGATTCAGACCTTATTGGTATCGAAAACTTGCCGCAATTCAGAGACGACTATTTCCCGCCGGAGAGCAGCTCTATGCGAGATGTCGACGTCGGCGATAACAAAGTATTAATTACAATTTGATTATTTTATATGGGCATAATGACCATATAGTTTAAATACCAGTATTAAGTGGGCATTCCATTATTTTGAATACGTTTTTTTAGCAATCTGTACAATTTACGTCTATACATAATTATGATGGTACAAATATTTTTTGTTTCAGAGGAAGGATAGTATTGCAAATCATAGCAACAATTTCCAGTTTAATGCAACTCCCTTCAGTCCGGAGTTTGCCAATGACTTTAAACGACTATAAAAACATAAGATTATGATAAAACATTGATCATATTTTTAATTAATTATATAAGTGTGATATTAAAAATTAAGTATTTAATCTTATAACTATATTTATATTAAATTCAATATATGCTTATTCTTAATTTGTGTTTTTTCTACTCTCCTGAACTTTGCTAATTTTTTTATACACTCAATATTTATAATAGGCTGGGGAAAAGGCAACCTATTGTTACCACGTGAATGTATGATATCGGTTACATAACATCTCTTTCGTAGAAGTATTGACCTGTATTGATGAACAACTCTGGTAATTGATTCAATTTGATGCTAATTTTGACAGGAAGTTAAAGACATGGTATTGGTTAATGCTACGTTGGACAACATATACTACGTCTCTTTTTGGTAAATTTTAGCCATTTGGTCCATTTTTTATTCGTCCGTTTCAAAGGTTGATAACAATGGAAATACAAAGTGTTTGTTGTACATCAGAAGTGGCAAATTAGCAAGCGACTACCAGAATTCGCCGAAGTGGCTAAGCCACAACAAGTATTCAGGAATTGAACAAAATCAATGTGTAGATTTTAAATCGATTCGATACTTTGCAAGATATCGATAATTAACTGAATTAAGCCATCTATCAAAACATAATGAGTTTGCTTCTTTTACTTTTTTGCCAATACAATCCAGTATGCTTTGATCAACAATAATTAAATTATATTTTCTCGAATAATATTTCTCACATTTTGATTGTGGCAACAATTTTGTTTTTGCTAAAATATTAAAAAAAAACAAAGTGTCAATGTCAAATTGGTGGCCATTTTGGTTTTGGAAATGTCATGTCAGCATTCAGCAATATAGTAAAAAAGATATGATTTTACAATTGTTATAAGTTGTTTTTAAATAAATATGTGTTAATACTTTACGTAAAAGGGTTTATCATTCCAAACTAAAACACTTATACCCTTGCACAATTGATTAATAAGATAAAATGGTGAGTAAACTTACAACTTACACGGTATCGATGTTTCACGGCATCGTTATTTGTTGCAAATTGACAAAGTATCCTTAATATATTAAACTATTGCTTGTTGTATTTTAAAAAAGTTATTCACTGATATAAAAGCTTAATCTGAACGTCGACGTCAACGATTTATATGCCAGTATCGGTATTTTCCTAAACAAGGTTCTTTCTGTTACAGATGCAATTCATGTTATTATTCAGCCGCCAAGGCAAGCTACGTTTGCAGAAATGGTACGTAGCTCATCCGGACAAGCTAAAGAAGAAAATAACTAGAGAGCTTATCACCACAGTCCTCGCACGTAAACCAAAAATGTGCTCATTCCTCGAGTGGAAAGATGTCAAAGTAGTTTATAAACGGTTAGTAATTAAAATATACAAAATAATTATATTTATTATGTTAATTCTAAATGTTTTTACAGTATAGTTATTGTCAAAATATTCAAAATTGTTAGATATCTTTTGTTTCATATTCAGACAGATAAACAATATTCTGCTCATTTGTTATATGCAATATGTATTTTCCCCTTACTGTCTTCACTATCTGTACTAATGTTATAAAGAAGAAAGTTCTGATTGTTGTAAACAAGCACTGAAACTACTGTTCTGGTTTCTGGTAATCCTCTGTTTGCTGGTGATAATGTTCTATTAAAAATTTCTCATTTCAGATATGCATCACTCTACTTCTGCTGTGCTATGGAGCAAGAGGACAATGAGCTGCTGACTCTGGAACTTATCCATAGATATGTCGAACTTCTTGACAAATACTTTGGCAGTGTGAGTGTTTTAAACTACTTGGTCATTTTAACATTCACGTACACAAACATAATTACATGAAAATGTATTTTGTTAAATGAAATAAAATAAATAAATATGTGTGCCGAACAGGGCAACACTTCTTGATTGCTTTAGTTAGAACTGAATGTCTGTAGTGGGTTTTATGGTTTACTATATTTGGTTCACAGTCCTATAAGTTAAACCAATTATTAAAGCTATATTGTAAGGATGGTCACCTATAAAAACCTACTACTGACTCTTTTCTTAACAATTTTGTTTACTCTGTAACTTTATGACTTTATATTCTACAGGTATGTGAACTGGACATCATCTTTAACTTTGAGAAGGCATACTTCATCTTGGATGAACTGGTCCTCGGTGGTGAGCTCCAGGAGACAAGCAAGAAGAATGTATTAAAGGCGATCGCTGCACAGGATCTGCTGCAAGAGGTCAGTAGCCAGGATAATGAACTTGTGTAAAAATGGTTTTCCAAACTTTATGGCTGTTCACATTATTGCGCTGAAACATGAAATAAAATACTGATGTAAACAGATTCGGGTGTAGGGCATGACCCTTTACACACATTTTCCTCACAGTGGTATATAACTGCAATAAATTACATAAAATGAGGCCATAAAGCTTGATTATTATATGCTGTGAGAATCTGACAATATTGTTCAGTTTGAATAATGCATATCCTATGCATGATACAGTCAGCCACAAAAATGTATATAGACTTACAAAAATTACAAAACATGAGCATTTAATTTCAAAAATATGCATTAATATATTTATTAATAGTATGTATTCAAGATCTGAAATGAAAGGATGGATAAATATACAAGATTCTTAAGTGTATACATGTTTATGCAGCTGACTGTACTTTAACTTGCCGAGTTTAAATATGTAGGAATTTAGTAGGTATAAAAGGCCTTAGTAATTCATGCGGGGTAATAAGGATAATTTGGATATTATAAGTAAGTTGTGAAAGGGATATTAAAGGTTTACAATTTGTATTTTCATAGTTTTAGTAATATAACAGTTTTATGTTAGGGATGTGTAGTCATTATTGTGTTCATATGGCAATGCCTTTATACTAGTTTTAATTAAATTGCTATTCCCAAGGCCAGTTCAAACATTAACAAATACAGATGAAAATGTCTAGTCAAAATATAATTTGTCTTTTCAATGCGTAGATTGTAAAATATGCGGACCATTTAGGAAAGAGGCCTCAGTAGTGCCTTTATTGTAGAGATATATCATTTTTAATGTATATAGTGTGCACTGCCTTTAAAATAATAAACTATGCACATATCAATCTCTTTGTAAACTCTTCAACTAGAGCTTATTATGAATTTATATTAAATTTAGATAAAAATATTTATACTAAGTTATTTATTGAAAAAAAAAATCTTTAATTAGGACACTAAAATATCGTGATAAATTGTTATTACATGGAACAAAATAAAATAGAAACTAATATTATTGAAAAATTAAAAACATAAAATTACACCATTGCACTCAGAGTTGTTATGTGGTCATTAAGTCCCCGTAGTATACATTCCAAACAAATCTACACTAAGAGGTTTCTTAGTAACCATTTAATATGAGTGCAGTTATACTTTCACATACTTGCTAGTTTCTTCCCAACTGTCCCCGCACCGCACCGCTAACTATCCTTTGTTTCTGTTGTGATTTGCATGCTGGGAACTGTCAGGACCTGAACGATGGATTATTGCACTGACGGACACACCAAATTATAATCTGTGGTATTAAATGCTCACTTTGACATAATGCTTCCTTATAACTTATGCTAACATAGATCTGTAACTTAGATGCGTCATGGGACACATAAAAATGAAGTTAAGAAGGCCTCTGGCCATTTGTTGGAATTAATTACCTTATTCGTACAATACAAAATATAATTAAATACAAAATTTATAAATTAGGTTCTAGGTTAAAAGTTAAATTTGTCCAAAACCCTTCAACTAAGTTACATATCTATGGTATTACTGTTGTCAAAATTCATTTTTTTTTATTATTTTTAATGCGATAAATTAGCACTGCACTAGTTTGAATCTCAGGATTATTTTTAATCATATATTCATACAATAATGGTCATTTAAATAGATCAGAATTAATCATACTAATATTATAAATGCGAAAGTTTAGATGGATGCTTGTTAGAGTTTGTAGCTTAAACGGCTGAATGAATTACGACGAAAATTGGTATAGACGTAGAGATAGTCTGGAAGAACACATAGGCTTCTCACTTTTGTATTTATTTAATTCCACGCGGACGGAGTCGCGGACGAAAGCTAGTAGATTATAATAACTATATGTTTAACCACCCATACCCTATTTGTAAAGGGTATGGACAGCTCAAACAATCGTGCGATTCCTTTCATTTAAACTGAATAGTACAAGCTTTTAGCTTAGTTGGGAAGGCTGTAATCAGTAAATAACAAATAATCTGCTAACATTAAGAAATAAAAACTGTTTAGGTCATTTATAAAATCACCTCACTTATATTTCCACTATTGGTATTGGTCATACATTTAATTATAAATAATTTTATTGCGTTCAAATATGCTTTTGGCGTCACCAGTATAGTGATGGGGGCAGAGTACCCTTGTGAGTTGTTCATTAAAAAACTGTACCACATAAGTTGTGGTAACTTTAGAATAAAAAAAATTATATTTACAAGTAATCATAGGCCCATGCTACTTGTGATTTATTTTGCTTGAACTATCAACTTGCATGCCCACACTAATACTTGTTTTGCACAGCTTTTTTTAATTTTTATGCGCTTCCTATTCGACTATTATATATACATACATTTATCTATGCATTGCACTTATAACCTCACACGATTCTTATGTATAAAATAGTAAAATTAAATTGGAATTTTTATCTGATGTCGCAATATTGTTATTAATTTAGTCATAGGCGTAACGATGTTTGATGTATTTATATTGCTTTTTATTCATGTAGCTTTGGAGTTTCCGAATAATGTATTATGGACATCGATTTACCTAATTTTATAATCATTTTTAACCATTAATTTACTAATTAGTATTTTAGTTGAGAGTTTCATCATGTATTTTAATGTTCAATCGAACACCATTCTAATTCTGTTGAAGTGATAAAATTTCTAACACACGATTTAATGATTTTAGTTGAAGCGTTTTTTCTATAATTTATATTGAATTATGTATTTAAAAATGTGCAATAGTTTAAGGTAATGCGGTGTCCTAATTTTTGTTATTGTGTGCTGTTCGTGCATTATTGTAATGGGATGTTGAAATACATTGGTTTATAACTAAAAATTTCTGTTTTCTTGCATGTGTCCGCTCCTAACCATCGCTTGCGTGGCAAGATGCGTTCCAAATTTAATGAATACCGGGTGGTTTAAATTCAGTTTCAATCGCTTTTATTGTAGCTCTGTGGTATCTTGCTGCGCGGGTATTCCCCGAAAGTTCTGCGGTGTGGTTTTAAAACCTGATTCTAACACACTTTTAATGAAAAAAATAACACACTACTTCTATTCTTTTATCACGACAGTACTAATGGAACATTTTATGATCAATTCTTTGATAATTTACATTTTATTACAAAGACTAATTTTCTCAATTTTAAAAGAGCTTGCTAATTTTTTAATGAAGATGGCGATTATCGCTGTATAGTTTGACGTATGCATTTTGTGGCGTGTGGTGTGATAGGACGAGACGGTGGACGCTGCGCTGCGCGACGTCGGGCTCCTGTAGGCCTTCGCCCCGTTACCAGGACTCCGGAACTAAGCCAAGATAATGCTAAACGAAAACTTAACAGGAATATCTTAAAGATAATGCATGGATTTGACTACAATTTTTATATTGGAAAATGTACGGAGCTATAGGAAAAGACAATTTGTTTGAACTTTCTGTCTCTCTTTCTCTGCTCTCTTATGTCTCGGTCACTCTATTTATCGAATTTATCTTGACTTCATTTTTTTTAAAAATCATTATTACGTTATACACCGATTGCTACAAAGTATCTCCCAAATTTTCGTGAGAGGCCCTTAATAGGAGTAAAATGTTCACAGTTCAAGTTAATCTCAAATCTGCTACTAAATAAAACATGTTTAATGAGTATATATTTCTCATAAAAAGATTTTAAGGATTCCGTGAACTGGTTAAAAAGTATTAAGTTGAAGATTGTTAAAGCAAAGTTTTTTCCCATCACAAGTCATCAAGTTTAGATCTAGAAATAACTTAGATGAGTTATTTATTGTGAATTGTCTTTTTCTATAGTTAAAAATTCTAACAGTTAGGTACATAACAAGGGTACAAGGTATCCATTTTGAAATGATTGCAAATTTTATTCCAAAACTAGCTTTATTGAGTAAAATTAATTTTGCGTATTTTTGTCTAAAAAAATATACAATAATTTTTACATAAATGAAGTTTCTTAAACAATATAAAATGCCTTTCGAAGAGCCATACATTCGTTCTTGTAACAAAAATTCGTAGAATCAGTTTTATTCATTTTAATCTGTGAAAAGAGAAGTTTGTTTTGTCTATTTTATATATTTATAACGTAAGTATTACTTCATAATATTAAATTAATAAATATCTTATTGTAAAAACGAGTAATGATTCTTTAAGAAGCGTATAGTTTAAGAGCTAAGTGCTTTATCAGGGTGTATTTTTTTATATGGCAACAAACTTTACAGTATAATAAAAACAAAAAATACATAAGACGTAGGTGTTATTACTCTCGTGTTTTATCCGTTATAACTTTTTAATTTCTTTAATCACCTCATTTAAAATGAATTTTATAATTGAATTGAATCCAAACCAAAGCCGACAATGGTGCTTTCTATAAAATTCTGTTCTCTATAGCTTCTGTAGCTAAATAAACTTTTCATTTCGTTTTTTATTCAGATATTCTCATATCTTTAAGAATAAGGTGAAGATATTTGTCTTTTTTTGTTAAAAATTTGTAATTTTTGTTTCTTAAAATGTTTTATATTGTTATTTTTTTCTAATTTTATTCGCGTAGAATCGAAGTATTTATAATTTTTGTTTTACATAATAATACTAATTAAAAAATAGCGTTTTGTGATTGTTATCGATTATTGTTTTCGTTATTTTCTAAATTTATCCAATTACGATATGTCTTCCTAGCTTCAACCATTCTGGGATATAATAGGTTACATTAACCTCAGATTCCGTAAAAAATTGTAACGAATTCTGTCAACTGCAATAACGTTTTTGTAAATAGTCAAAAACTGCTGGTTTTGAAGCATTTTGTGATAGAATCATCATAATTTTAATAAATTTTTGCATTTTTGCGACTACGCAATCTAGCATTCATAAGAAATACTGTATTTTATAATGACTTTGTGACTGTACAAGTTAGATTATTTTTATAATATGTACCTATGCAACTGTATTCATTAACTGGGCCGAAAAACGGATCCCCGACAAACAACGTTTAAGACTTCAAATCCTATTTTTTTCTAATGTGTATTAATTTTTTTAAATAAAATACATTTAGTATGCATTTCTAATGAAAGGACTTTTTATTTGAGAACTAAACTACTATCAATAACAGCTTCAAGTAGTAATTGTTTACTAATGTTTCTTACTAATAGTAACGCTTTGACTACACCTGTACATTGTAAGTCGTTTTTCCGTTAAAAAAAATCAGTCATTGCAAATGAAGTGGTTTTTTTTGCAAATCTTGATTCTAAATATGCTGTTAGAATAATCACTGATCCGAGTAACTATATTCTATAATTGTGGTGAATCAGAAATTCATTTTATTAAGGGCCTGTTCCACCAAATTGTAAATTGTCTGATAACAATAACGTGTAAAGTATGTGATGGAAATGTCGAATTTTGTTACCTTATCTGACAATAATGTCATTTTTAAGCTATCTGGACCTCTATCAGCCAGTGGTGGGACAGGCCTTTACTTTGTTATTATGTAAGATTACATTTAGCCGAAAAGCGATAGCTCAGTGTAATGGCGGGCACGAGCGGCACTGGCTCAGTGATGTTCCTTGTTGCAGGAGGAGACGCCGCAGGGATTCTTCGAGGACCACGGCCTTGGGTAATCCGGACAGGAACGCATACAAGACCACGAGCCCAAGACCACACAGCCTCGCATACGGACACTGTCCTATAATCTACATTGTACTTTATTACTGTATAGAAAGGTAACTCCGTTAAATTAATTTTTGTTTTTAACATCATTGATATATTTCGCTATATTAACATGTTATCTATACATTTTTAACTTTTAACTACGATGAATATGTTATGTACTTGTTAAAATAATAGAATTTTCTTTCTAAATTATTAGAAATTGTCTTTTTACAAACTGCCAAAGCGTCTTTTAATGATTGTTAATTCCTTAATGTGTACACTAAGTTACTAAAACTAAATCTGCATTAAGGGACTGTACTAATCATTAAAAACCATAAGAATGGCACAAGGTGCTACATTGGATTTTTTCCTACAAGATTTTTTAATGTTTTTTATTAAGGTCGCATACTTATTTAGTAGTAATTTTCAAAAAGTATGTCATAAGGTTGAATTTTATCCAAACAAATAAAAAAAATATGTTGATACAAATTGTAATTTGTTTTAGAATAAAAATTACAATGTCTTGGGAGCTGTTAGCTCTTGGTCTATAAAACAGTAGTAGTGGATGACTAATAGAGATTTTAAATGAAGTATTAAATAAAGTTAAGAACCCTGTCCATATGATCTTTATGTAGATCATGTTACTAATATTTAGGTATTCCAAGTATTTATAGTTTTGTAGTAAATAACCACTGCGAGTCGACATAACTGATATTAAAAAACCTGGTTATTAGTTATTCTACCACAAATGTTTCGAATTTCATTTACATTTAGCAGATGTAATGGCAACCTAAGCTTATCGGACTGTTCCAAACCGTCACCCCGCTCTGTCCTACGTAGGAATAAATGAGAATAAAAAGTTTAATCCGTCCCTCGATTTGCGTCGAGGGGACGGTTGGAACTGATTTTATTTCATAACGGTTCCATCTCTCGTCTTATTGGTGATAGTGGAACGGGTGAAACTTTTTATTTTCACGTGGGGACAGAGTGGGGTGACGGGACTAATCCGGCTCATCGGTTGGACACCATTATTATTGCCATATTAAAAAGTCAGTGATAGCTTTAGAAAAACATTAAATCATTTATCCTTCATTTTATTGGTTTGTTGTTGACTTACAGTGGTCCCATTTTATAGTTATCGCGTAGGTTTAGCTTTTTTTAGTGCTTAGAGGCAGCTGTTACTTAATATTTTTGTTGTATTTTAAAATGTGGATATTTTGTGTACATTTTTCAACAATTTGTGCCAAATGTTATAGCTTTTTGCTGACAATTAAGCAATAAAAATGAAATGCAAATAAGCTGAATAACTGTTTACGAATAGTTAACATTTATAGCGATTTATGTTGCTAAATATCATCTTTAAAAGCAATAATATTGTAAATTCATTTTGAAATTGTTGTAAACTATTAAATATAGTAATTGTGGTGTATATGTGGGTATGCCAATAATAATAGGAGCTATGAATACAAATTTTCTCCAAATTGTTATTTAAAAATTGTAATTTTACCACTGATAATTTGTAAGAAAACAAGAATGTTCAAAGTCAAATATTTTCTCAGATTAACCTCCCATATCTAAAATGTCATATCTTATATCTGTAATGGGGCGCAAATGTTAATATTAGCTGTTTAATCTTTAAATAAACTATTGAAATTACGTATTTCTTTTATTTTTAACAAATACACTTATTTACACAAAACTAGTTTCAATTGTCGCAAATTTGTGAGGGTAATATAATTTATCCTAACAAATGCGAAAATTTGGACTGATGACTGTATGTTACTACGTAACATACAGAAAAATGTAGGGCCTGTCCCACCAAATTGTAAATTGTCTGATAACAATCGAACGTGTAAAATATGTGATGGTAAAATTGAATTTCGTTCCAATATCTGACAGTGACGTCATTTAAGATATCTGAGCCTCTATCAGCTAGTGATGGGACAGGATCTTAATGGATCTCAATAAAATTTGCACAAATGTCTGGAAAATATAGGCTACTTACTAAGTTTTTTTTAAATATCGTTTTAAACTCTTGCGAAGGCTTTTATAAATAAAACAAAGTAATCAATTCAATTCCAAAATATAATTATAAAAGACGATACAAAATAATTTATAGATTAAAAATGTTGACATTTTAAAACATTGTTTCCAAAATACACAGATTAAATATAAATTCAGTACATTATATAAATATGCGATTATATTTTGTTCCCTTAAACGTAAACACCAGAACAACGAACATACCAGAGATTGTATGTTCTTTGTGGTGTACTTAATTACTACCTTACACATAAACATACCCAGAGTCGTTAACAGACTTAAATATTAAAGAAACAAGACGCTGGTAGAGGTTCCTACAATCACTCTTAGTAAATACTTAGCGACTCTGAGTTTGGCATTTTAATGACGTATAAAATAAAAATTATTGTTCCATGTCTTCAGGTTTAGTGGACTTGGCTTCAGGTGTAGATTTGACTTTGGTTGCGGTGGTAGGAGTGGTGGGCGTGGTAGATGTGGTAGGTGTGGTGGGAGTGGGGTCTGATGGGCGGGGCTTGCTGTCATCTTCTGTCTCCCTCTCGCGCTCCTGCTGCTCGCTGGTGACGGTGGCGAGGTGTACTGCCGCTAGCAGTGCGGTTATATAACGACGCACGTCTAATTCTATACCTATTGGGAGATATTAATGTTAGATTTGTTGGATATACGAATCTTTCTACATCAATGATTTTCAATTAGTGCGTAAAAACCGAAATATGGTCCGGAAAATTATATCAAATAGCAGACTGTGAGACATCGATCGCTTTGCAGTGATACAATCTACGATATGTGGGGTCTGGCACGAAAAATATTGACGAGAAAGTCGTCTCGAGTGTTACTTGGTCAAATGACGACATATTACACCATAGCTTCTATTATAGAAGAATATTCAAGTGGTCCCTGATTATTAAAGATTGACAATTGTCATAAAGGAATCTATTATTTCTGATGAGTTTATTTGTCTGGCCATGTAAGGTACAGTCGGGGAAACTGGCGGTGTTCCATCTTAAAAGCTACAATCGTTTGAACATTTTAAAACGAGACTCGAAACAAAAACCAAATACGACACAGCCTATAAATGTGTCTGTGCTAAAAAAAAAACTCGGTTAGTGATACACGGTTTCTTTTTTTTATCCTTTCGTTTACACTTACTGCCATTCGGGGGGTATGGTGATCCATTACACAGGGCGCCACCCTAGTTAGGACACCAGCCCTCTGCCCAAGGGGAAAATTAATAAACTACTTTTTTTTTTAATTATTCTCCATTGACGGTCACGGAGGATATCACACTCACTGCTACCTAATTAGTTATTTACAAGAGAAGGAGTTTATCTGAAGTGGAACACCGCGGATTTCCTTGACAGTACATAGTGTAGTTGTGTTTATTTGTGTTACCATTAGCTCTGAGATGGTTGACGCGCGCGGCGAGGTTCGCCCAGACGCGGCGCGCCGCCACCGCGCTCAGCCTGCCCACAGTCTGCACCGTGTGCAGCGCGGGGTCGCGCTCTAACTCCACCACGTCACCTGAACACACATTTATTTATATTTCTATACTAATATAATAAAGAGGCAAGATTTGTATTTATGGAATTCTGTATGTATTCGATTTACGATAAAACTACTGGACTCATTTAAAAAAAATCACGATTAAAAAGCTACGTTACCAGTGAGTAGCATGAGCAACAGCCAGTAGGTAATATTTATGGTGCATATGTTTGTTTAGTGGAAGGCCACTTACGTTGTGTGTAAAGCGACTTACTTTGTGTAGAGAACCACTTACCTTCTGAGTAAGGCGACTTACATTGTGTGGAGGGCCATTTACGTTGTGTGGAGGGCCACTTATTTTATGTGGAGGGCCATTTACGTTGTGTGAAGGGCCACTTATGTTGTGTGGAGTGCCATTTACGTTGTGTGGAGGGCCACTTATGTTGTGTGGAGGGCCACTTATGTTGTGTGGCGGACCACTTATGTTGTGTGACCTGCCATTTACGTTGTGTGGCGGGCCACTTATGTTGTGTGGAGGGCCACTTATGTTGTGTGGAGGGCCACTTATGTTGTGTGGAGGGCCACTTACGTTGTGTGTAAGGCAACTGACCGGTGAGGTCTGTCTGCGGCTCCACCGGCGGCAGGTACTGGTCCAGCAGCTTCATGGCGTAGCACGCGCCAGCATCGACGCCGTGCAGCGCGCGCTGCCCGTACGCTGTACTCAGCAGAGCGTTCGCCTTCGCCCATGATAACTCTTTAAGAGAATGCACCCGCTGCTCCGCCGCCGCACGCGCAACAAACACCTATAAATGTCACATATCTATACTATTACAGGAAAGATTTGTATTTTTGTATGTATTGAAACTTAAAAATTATGGCCCGATTTAGCAAATTCGTCATCTCAAAGTAACATAGGCTGTTTATTACAATTTTAATTTCGCGCGGGCGAAAACGCTAGTATTGGATATACATACAGTAAGAGGAGACTAGGAGTGAATCTTACTAATATTATAAATGCAAAAGATTAGATAGATAAATGTTTGTTAGTTTGTAGCCAAAATGTCTGGAAGATCACAGACTACTCACTTTTGTTATTTTTTATTCCACACGGATGAAGTCGCGGGCGAAAGCTTGTACATACTTTATTATATGATAGTGTAATTTTCTGTTCAAAGTATGTACTCGATATTACGTAATACTTTACATATTTGACACAATAAAACAAAATGTTTATTACTTTCTGAATAAGCTACAAATTCTAAAACAGTTTTCGTTATAGATTTATATTCAAATGTCATTTGAATGTCAGACTGTTACTGAATCCTAATAAGGATTAATTTAATCCGATATTGAACCAGCTTTATGTTGTACTTAATTTAGATAACGTGAAATTAAATTACGTAGTCACGACGTTTTTTTTATTATAGCAAAAATTTAAGCAATAAATTGAAATATTAATAAAATATTCCTTTTACTCTTTTTTTTACAGATTTCAATACTTTAAACTCACTGCCACATTCAAAACTTATTCTTACTTCTTACTTATATCATAAATGCGAAAGTTTAGATGGATAAATGTTTGTTACTACGTATTCCAGAAGTCCTCAACGGATGTCGCTAGAATTTGGCATAAACAATGAACATTGTCAGGAAAAACACTTAGATTAATTGTTTCTTTTTAATATCGCGCAGAGTCGCGGGTCACAACTAGTGATTACTAAATGACACTTAGAGCGGGCAACAATCGACAATCGCAAGCTATTGTGTGATTGTCGATTGTTTCTCAGCCAATTCAACTATTTAGTTGAACAACTAAACATCGAGGTTAGTGCCCACCTCCATATAAGCGCATAGAAAAGTAAGACTAAACAGTTGTGCGATAGTTTAGTTTCAGTTGTGCGCACGCTCTTAGAATCAAATCTATACTATTATAATAAAGCGTCAACACAGACTTCTTTGTTGCCTAAGATGTCAGCAATTACAGCACATTTTTTAATAATTCTTTTTTTAATAAAAAGTCCTACACTTACGTCATGATTTAGGCTATATATTTCCACGCCATTAAACTTAGGGGTAAATATTTTGGATAAAAACCCTAATGTGGGAGAGAGACCATAAGTTGCTGCCAACATCAAGAAAGGGACATTGCTAAGGTTTGTCATGTCAAGTCATTTTGATATTTGCAATTGAATTTGACAAATGTAATCAATAAAACAATTCATAATTTCATGCAAATGAAGTCGCACTGGAACAGCTAGTGTTAGAGTATTTATCAAATTGATAGCAGCATCCTTTACTAATAATTTCGTAATTTATCGAAGTTTAAAAATAACCAAAACCCCGTTAGTGCCGAAGGTCTATTCATTCCGGTTCATTGTCCAAGATACGTTATCACAAACGTTTTTTATCTTATCCTGGTATTGAGTAAAAACATCGTTTATCACAACTGTGTATCACAAACGTTCGAAAATTATTTATTTCTGGGTACCTAACACGTTTACAAAAAATATTCAAAACGTCGAAAGATTATATTTGTGCAGCACCCCTAGTACGTGTCCATAACGTTATGAATAATACCCCACGAACATCTCCATAAGCAGAGTTTTGTTGCCAGTTTCTCCCGAATTAGAATAAAACCACAAGCACTTGACACTGGCCATATACGCTGAGGGAGAGCCATAAACAAGAAATAGAATGAATAATACTTTCTGGAAGATTTTCGTCCCAGTCCGAATGTCGAAACCCATATTGTTATCCCTTTCTCCATAAAGAAAACAGAAAGGAATGTCAATTACGTTGTTTCAGTCTAGAGTTATATCAGCAATTTGTCTTCATTTTTTATCTACTCCGTTCTTTTTGCTAAATGCAACGCACTCATAATCCTGATTGATTTCTTATCTATATCCAATATAGGAAGGTAAATTGAAAAAAATGACGTATTTATTATTCCTTATCGTAAACTTTCCGTCACTACAAGATACAAGAAACAAGCAAATATCCGGGAGCACGTATTTTTTTGTTTTATGCATATGTTTTTTTTATCAAACATTTGACATCAACCGGCCAGTACTTCCCTTTCACTAAGAAGGTCGAAATGGCGTTGAAACTCGCTTTCATTTAACTAATGCACTTGTTTAAATTAATTAAATGCATTTGCGCAGCAAACTTATTTAACAATAGCAGCGCTCGGCCGCTAAAAACATCCTGTTTACGTGATTAACGCACTTTGCATATTCATTTTCATTTGTAAAATTTGTTTTAATAATTGGAAAAACAAAGGAAATAAAACCAATCACAACTAGAAGCGGAAATATAATAGGTGTAACCACACTAATGTTACTAACAAATGCAAAAGCTTAGATGGATGGATGTTAGAAGATATCTCCAGACTAAACAGATCTAGATGAAATCTGACACAGATAATAATAATAAAAATAATAATGTTCGTCTTTACTAGTCTCTATTTTCAAATAGAAATCTTTGTACCTTACCTTATTAACATGTGGCGAGAGCTTTGCAATTACAGCTTGTTTTGTCGTTTCCACGATGACCTTGGGCTGTTCATTGACGATGGGCACGCGGCGGCCGAGCTCGTCGATGACCGCGGCCACCTTTGCATCGCCAGCGGCCAGGGGGCTGGCTACATACGGGGCTGCGGTCGCCGCAGCAAGAGACACGCTGGCCTCAGCTGTTGATAACGCCCATTCTAACAGCGAGTGGGCACCTGGAGAAGAAACGATATATGTGGGCAACATCCAGACCCTCAAAAATGACTTGTTTAAGATAGTTACAAAGTCTTCTTCCCAAAAGACAATGTATCTCTTGAAGATTCCCCTTGGATACCACAAAAGTCAATCACTTGGTTGGTAGTCTATAGTTCAGATTGGACTGGTTACTTATACTAACTTAAGCTTTATTAAATCTCAATGTCCTGCTAAGAATCTTAGGAAACATTTAATAAAAACTGAAGCATAAAGTATAGTTCCGGACTCAAATCTGTGAGACATTGTAATCAATAAATATCTAAAAATTATTTCACTTGTTTGTTTGATGCTTTAATATCATTAAGTTGACATTTTTCATTATAGGGTCAGAGGGTATAAACATTTTTTACATTGCATTATCGATAGATTCATGAAACAAAGTTACGAAGTCCAAACGCATCCGTGTTGTGATATACAAGAAATTTATGTTATCAACACGTTTGCTGCGACAAGTAAAATCATAATTCTATAACTGGTGCGGCGGCAGGCCAAAATGCGCCCCCAAAGATCTTACCGCCAATGCTAGGCAGGTCTTTTTAGACCCACCAGCACTAGGATTGATAAAATTGCTATAACTTTGTGGAAACACAATGAAAACAAAAACAAAAACATTTTATGTAATACTAGCTGTTGCCCGCGACTTCGTCCGCGTGGTATTAGAAAACATAGGAACTATATGAATAACAAAAAGCTACGTATCCCTCGGGAACCAACCATTTCACAGGGATGAACCTTATCCCATGTATACTTCAGACTTTGTTTTATATCTGTACCAAATTTCAATAAGATATGTTGAACCGTTGCAGAACGATCGAGTGAACATTAAAAAATAAATTAATGAATCCCACGGGAACCGTAACTATTCCCGGGATAAAGTAGCCTATGTGTTCTTCCAGACTATGCTCTAAACCTGTGCGAAATTTCATGGAGATCCGTTCAGCCGTTTAGGCTACAAAAGCTAACAAACATCCATCCATCCATCGTAACTTTCGCATTTATAATATTTACATGATTATATGATATATGATAATGTATACACCTGAGATAATCGTTTCGCACTAGCGAGAGGGAAATAGATTTCTTCGTCTGGCTTATTATGCAGTGAATGTGTTAACTCTTACTAACCAAAGCAAGGATGATACACTTGTATAATTAAACAAGGCAAAGAAACAAAATACAATTACAAAACTTGTTAACAAACAAACAATGCAGTTGTCATATTGCATACATGTTTATTTTGTAGGATAATAAAACAGTTCATGCTTCATAAAGATTATTGTTACCCTATTGTGATTGAAGGAGACCCACTTATAACTATTGTGTTATACCAATAGTTATAAATTAAAAAACATTTTAGATTTAATTCTGTTTGTATCCAATTATGACAAAAATGGTTAATTTAATTAACCATTATATCTATACTAATGTTATAAAGAGGAAAGATTTGTATTTTTGTATGTATTGCAATAACCAAAAAACTACCGGGCAGATTTTAAATATTCACCGTTGGAAAGGTAATTTATCTGTGAGTAACATAGGCATTTTTTGTTACTTTTTAATTTCACGCGGACGAAATCGCGAGCAACAACTTGTGTTATGATATGAATAAATATTTCTTCACAGATATTAAATATTTTATAAACATGGTCACCTGAATGTTTTTAAAACAAAAGAAATATGTGAATGAGGAAATTGTAGAACAACATTTAAATGTTACTTGATAAAATTACATGTTTCATAACATTATAGGACCAGTTTTTTTAGTTTTATGCAAGTTGATAATGCAAAGGTATAATTTATTTATTGAAGGTAGAATTTGATCGTCTCTTTTTTTACACACCATACTATTTGAAGGTACTACGGAAATATTAAGTTGAGTAGATTGATCTGATTTTTGTTATCAAAACCAAATTCAGTATATGTTGCATGTTCATAATAAATCTGACTTCACACTATATATAGAGATATATTTTTTTACAGTTTTACCCAATAAATGATGCCAGAACAGATAATTACAATAGAAAAAATAATTATTAGATGCAAATGGAACAACAAGGTCTTACATCATTCACCATCATGACTTTCAAATTGTTTGTCCTTGTTTTGAATTCTTATGAATAATATTTGCAATACATTATTTATGCTGCAATGACATTGAAATTACTACATGTAAAAGTCAATAATAATTATAGTGTTTTATACTTGTAGTTTGAACTTTAACATTCAAATGCATGGTTCCAACTTGGCTAGTAGTTACTCAGCTCCTTATTAGGACTGGCAATCAACTGGCACTGTGTGAACGCTAACTGGTGCCAGTGAGTCCATAAAATCTGCGACTGGCTGTCACAACTGTACAACTGAACTGGTCAAGTGTATACCATGCATATATATTAAGTAAAGACTAAGTATCTCTTCCAATTGAACTAAGACAGTATCTGGACAAGCAAGAACTGGATAAGTGAAAAAACCTCTATAAGCAAATTATTGTCCTGTTTCGTAGACAACCTCCATAAGTAAGACACCCATATTAGAACCCCCTATAAGCAAAATAATGTTGTCCATTTGATTATCAGTTATCCAAGTTTTACTGTACATAGAACAGAACTGCACAACCAATATAATTTATCACTATCATTATCAGAAGTTTCTAGAATGAATTTTATGCAAGATACAAAAAACTAATCAATCATAGTACAGAGAAGTTTGGCTTTACCTGAGTTTATTAGAAAAGTGTTCTTAAATTTGTCAAATAATTTTATTCCCCTTTCTTATAGCTACAAGTTGACGTAAACTCTTTTTTTTATCTTATCTTTCTAATAAAAAAAATTGTTCAATCAGTCTCAAGAAGTACATATATTCATAAAGTCAATAGAAAAACTACAATTAACAAAATTAACTTACCCTTAACTCTGGTATAGAATGCCCCAACTTGCCCCACAGCTGCTCCCACCGTGGGAAATGCCATGGCTTTTTGCACTGATTGCAACTGGGCCAGTGCAGACGGTGATGTACCCACTTCCATTGCCATCTATTTAAAGCAAAAAAAAACTGTATGAGGGTAGAAATATAACTACATGAAAGTAAAATCACGTAAGTAAATAGGATTTTTTGCTTAAAACTAAAGACTAAGCACTTACTACAAAAATATAAGTGCAAAAACACTACAATTAATTTCTAATAAAATCTGCATATAATGGAAAAATAAAACTTTTTACTGCATTAATGCATTTGCAGTTCTAAATTTAACTATGTCTACTTCCAATAACTGTAATCAACATGGTATCCGGTATAATTAGCAACTCTTTAATGATGCAATAGTGCAAGTAAATTTAATTATATTATACTCACATTTAAACTGGTTGATTTCTCTGCAGTGAAGAATGTACACAGTTATGCTAGACAGAGTATATTTTTTTAAAAAGTTGATATATACGCGAGTGGCTATTAGACACTTATATCATTGGCAAATGTCTGTCGCTAACTGAAGCCGTTGTTGACCGAACCGAAAGCCGAGCTGCAAATTACGCACTCTTGTCGCTTATTCGTTTACAACAGCTAACTAAAGTTTTACCCAATGTTTGTAGAATATTCCTTGGAAATTGGACTTTGAACACTACGAAGTGAACTATCGAACCACCACGTATGAACGAAGTATGTACTTTATGTATTTTATATATTGCTGTGAATCACTGTTTTACGAAATATGAGTAAAAATAACACAAATATGCAGCCAACATAACAATATGTACATCTGCGCACTTATATGTCCACTTGAAACAGAAATTGCATTAAATTCTACGCGTAAATAACAAATGTTCACAAATATTTGGGATAGATGGTGGGGGATACAGGAAACATTGTTTTATTTTTTGTTATGAACTAACATAACATACCGACCAACATTTTTGATTGGTCGCCAACGCCAACATCCGAAGCCGAACATCGATCGTCGCGCAATTTGTGGAACGAGGTCGACATAAAAACAAACATTGGACAGAAGACCGGTTTTCATTGGCTGTCTGTTTAGTCTTTCTCTAGTTGTAGCTTTGTTCAGACGTATAATTGTAAACAAGACTAATTGATTTCAGTAAAATTAGATTAAATGGCGTGGTTAAATACCAACGTATTAGAATTTTTGGATCTATATCGTAAAGAGCCTGTTCTGTGGGATCCTAAAAACCCTAAACATAAATCAAGATGCGACATTGCGGCGGCATGGGATAGAATCCAAACTTCTTTTTCTTTGGATTGTTCAGTGGTAGAACTTAAAAGGAAAAAAGAATCATTAATGACTTCTTTTAGAATGCATCTGAATAGAAAAAAGAAAAGGTTTGGTAACTATCAGCCTACATGGTTCGCTTTTTCATATATGGAAAGTTTCCTTGGCGGGAATTATGAATGTGATAGCTCAAATAAAATGGAACAAGAGGTACAATTTGAAATATTATATACATTTGTTTTATTTCTTGCAGTTTTTTTTTATTTCGAGTTAGTTGGCGATATTATTATTAGTAAATAATGTAACTACTTTTCCATATCTCTTGTTTACGGTAAGCTAAATGATAATTAATACTTCAAAGATTTTCCAAATTAAACCATTGACTAATTTACCATACAAATGTAAAATTAATTGTATTTCTTTCAGCTATTAAATAACCCAACATACGTTCTATCGCAACAACAAATGATAACAGAAATAAATGTTGATGCAAAAAGTAATACAACTGAAAGTAATAATGCAGTGTCAAAATATTCAATGACACCACTTCCTCAAGCAAATGCTGATAAAAGACCTAAGAAAATAAGCAATTCAAACTTTGTCTTTGTTAAAAAAAATCTGAAAGAAGAAGCGCAGGATATGAAAAATGACATAGAAATAAGAGATTTTGATGAATATGATTTGTATGGACAACTATTGGCTAAGAAATTAAGAAAATTAGAAGAACATCAGCGAGATGTTGCCATGCACGAAATTGACAATATTATGTTTAGGGCTAAAATGCAAGGTAGCACCAGTCAAACCCAAAATTATACCACTACTCCTTCACCGGTACATCGCAAAATGAAATCACCAATTTTCATAGTGACGCAGCATACTCATGAATACGAAGATGAAAATGCGCCATATCAAGAACATATGCAGTCGCAATCACCATCGTAGCATCCTTGTGAATATTTATCACATATTTTTTTAAGCCTTAAATTGTAAGATTTAGTTATGAAGGATAGTTTTTACAACCCTACCTTACATATATTAAATAATAGGTTAAAGCGGATGAATATTGTTAAAAGTGGCAACATTTAATGTACCACAAGAAGACTGCTAAAGTCTTGGGATATAAAACGGGTTATTTAATTTCACTTATATTGTAAACGAATGTGTCTGCATTTTAATATGAAAGCCATTGTTTTAAGTTCGCTTTTTTTTCTTCTTAAAAATCAAAGATCAAAAATCAGCGTCCAAATGTTATGGAGGGTATTCGGATTTATTTTCTTATGTTTGAGAACAAATGTCCCATCGGGTCCAATGTTTGTTAACAACATGCCCAATACCAATTTTTGAGTTGGATCAAATATTGGAAGGTCTGGTAACAAATGTTTGACCTTATTGGTTTTTTCTCTTGGGCCAGTTGGGCATTTGTCCGTAAGGTTTGTCAATATTATTTTTTGTTGTTACATTTCAATGTTACATTTCACTTTAAAAAGATTTTTATGTAATATACCAAAGTTTAAGCTAAGCAAGTACTAATATATTTCCCATTATACGTTTTTTAGGTAAATAGCTGATGATACATTGTAGTTATTGTGCCAAAGCTTCGTTTTATTCTCTAACGTAACTATTATATTCTTATTTCTGCAGTGCTGTGTGTCGACGTACAGCTACCTAGACCTAAAGGTGTGAGGTCATAAAATAATATGCGTAATTGTTTCTATCCGCTGCAAGTTGGGATCCCCTAATGTGACGTGTGTGCCTTTACATACAATGTTCACATTCTGGACTTTGTTATTGGATTGCGCAATATGAAATAATTACGTGTTTTCTCAGTTTCAACGTAAGATAAAGAACTGTACTTATTTTAATTTAATAAATAGATATTCTTTTTTTTCTGTTTGGTCATTCGTTTTTTTTAAATTTTAAATAGGTTTGGTGATACGAAGGCCGCAGTCGTAAAAAATAAATCAAAATCACTTGTATGATGTTTTTTTTTTTGACTGAATTTTCACTGTTTGCCTTGAAGAGGCAATTAAAGCTCCACCGGGCTTAAGGTGGCCGAACACGGATGGCGCTAAGCCTAAATCTCGTTTATGAGTAACTAAGCTCAAAGGCCCCCTCAGGAGCCATCAGGAGCCTCAGCTCGGGCCGTTACTTCGTTATTCTTACCGGATTACCTACATTTATGTTACGTTTATATCTATCCTATACATTATACATGTTACAATACGGCCTTGGTATTTATAGAAGAAGCAAAAAAGTCCATTATGACTGTACTTCTTTTAATGTGAATGTTTTGTGTGTATTAAAGATTAGCGCTACTTATAATCGTAATTTTTATAGAAAATATGTTAGTGTATTTTTTTTGTAAACACTCGCCTTTTTTATGTTTTTTATAACATTTCCAAGCCTTACAGATTCACAATAGCGACAATGAGCTTGACAAAACTTGCACACTCTATGATAACTATTCTTTGGGTTTTACAGCTGATTCACTGATTCTGTCAAAATTTATTGTCAAGTGTCAATTCAAGTTTCAAGTTAACAATGTTTTGATTTTTTTTGCAGATTGTTTGAAAACAAAATTAAGTTTTTATGGAGTAAATAGTGAAATAAATGTTATAAATAAATGCTATTCTATTTCACTTAGTAAAAATGGCAACTATGGTCAAGGAAAAACGAAAGGATGTACGTATTACTAAACATTAAAGTCTTTGTTGCAATATACGCAATACAATAACAATATTGATGTAGTATACATAGATACATTTAAATGTTATTAACTGTTTAAAAAATACGTAACTTTAAATATTACTTTTAATATCGATTCAATAAGTTGAATATTGTTTATGTTTAAAATTTTACTCCGTATAACTTCCTATGCTTAAAGCTAGCCTTTATTTCCAATTAACTTAACTGTAATGCTAATATTGCTTGATGTTTATCATTTACATAGTACGTACTGGCCACTTAATATACATCTCATGCATAATAATTTACAAAAGTCAATTATTGTTTTCTTATTTGTATAAATCTCATGAATTACTTGTTTTTTACAGAAAAAGAAAAAGCAGAAACAAAACATAAATATACCAGTAGCTGAAGAATTGGAGTATGATAATATACAAGAGATAACTAAAGAACAAGATAAAAAAGATGAAATACAACCAGAAACAGCTGATTCAGCTGTTTCTGAAAGAATAGCAACAGTAACTTTACAGTCTGATGATGAATTTAATGTCCAAAAAGAACATACAATAAATGTTCAAGATGAATATGAAGATAGAAATCAGTTAAGTACACAGCAAACAGTAGTTATCAATAATATTAAAATAGATACTGAGGAGTTTTTATGTCAATCTAGTGATATCACACAAAATGAGAACACCCCTTCAGCTCCTCTGTTTGAGGATGAAGAAATAGTAAATCCACCAGCATATAATACGCAATTCATAAGTACTGAAGAACATAAAATAAAATCCTTGCCTCTAGAAGAAGCTGTAAGACTTTTTGGAGGTGCAGAGATAGCTGAAGTGAGATCTATATCTGAGAAAGAAGAGGCTATTGTTGAAACGGGACCTGTGAGTGGACCAGAGCATCCACTTGTTGATTTACTATCTTCTTTTAGGTAAACTGTTTTTATTTAAACATGGGGGCAAACAAGATACCTGTTGAAATTGTCTGTCAATGAGACCACATATTGAGAGTGTTCAAGTCTTCTACTAATTTATAATTTTAATAATTGCAGATCAGCTTTAAATGCTATGGACCATGAAGGGACTACAATCAGTCAGGGATTTATCCAAGAAGAAAAATTTAGATCACAATTATGGAAAATTGAAAAAATGGATGCATTTGAATCAGAATATTGTCCTTCATGTGCCAAGTCGTTAAATGTAAAGATCACATATGAAAAAGCTACACTACAAACAGAGAAGATACCGGCTGCTCGTATGAGGTTGGAGGCCTTGGCTCGAGAGGTCCAAGAGTCATATTGTCATCATCAGCACACAGCTTTAATGGCATACTATCAGGTCAGTAAAACAATAAAGAAATCAGACTAATTAAAAAATAACATAGAGTTACACACACTGTCACTTGTTTGACTTTAACAAAACTAACTTTTGCCCACAACTCCATCTGCAAGAAATTAAAAAAATGTTCTGTCATATTATGCTAAACATTCATGCCAAATTAAATGAAGATCCATTCAGTTGTATAGATACATACTAACACATATCCATTCTTCCATCTAAACTTTCGCATTCATAATAAAAATATGTAAACATGACCAATATTATTTTTGTTGTTAAAGATAGAAGAGTTGGTGTACATAACAATACAGAGTAGTGCGGGTGAAATACGTGAAGCTCTGTCCTT